ATTTTGGAACAGGGGCGGGCCTCACCTTGGACGAAGCCCTCGCCAACACCCAAAAAGGCTTGAGTTTAAAACTGGACCAGGCGTCCTTGCGCTCGCATCTGAACACAGCGAGTGTGGTCACAAAGGCCGTCCTTCTGTCGGAGTGCGAGCCCGGCGCCAGGGCCTTCTTGAATGCAGTCCCCCGCGGGCACACCCAAATGGAGCCAGCCATTTTCATCACAGAGCTGGGACAGCGTCTAGGGGTTGCCGATGCGGTGGCTGATGGTTGGTGCCCCAAGTGCGATGCAGTCATGGACCGCTTCTCACACCACGCTGCAGTGTGCTTGGCCGGAGGGGAGAGAACCCAGCGACATCATGCTATCCGAGACCGGCTGGCATGGTGGCTTGACGTGGCTGGCCTGAAGCCAGAAAAGAAAGACTGACCTCCTTCTACCGCAAAGACCCGGGAAGTGGCTTCTGGGCGACGGCCGGCTGACATTTTTGTTCCAAGCTTTGCAAGCTCTCCCACCGCTTTCGACATTGCCGTCACGGCACCCCAGCGGGCAGAGAGCTTGGCAGCGGCTAGCCAGAAAGCCTTGGCAGCGGCCACGGCATATGCAACCACGAAAGCTCAGCACATGAACACCCAACAACAATGTGCTTCTCAAGGAATCACCTTCACCCCGTTGGTTATGGAGAGCACGGGGGCTTGGGAAAGCCAAGCGGCCTGTGTCCTGCACAAGATCGCCACCGCGGCCGCCCTCCGCTTAGGGCAAGATCGGGCCCAAGTCTTCCAAACCTTGCTCCAGGAATTGGGAGTTCTGGGTCGGTCCTTTCGAGCTCGAGCAGTTCTTCGGCGTCGGCTTGCCATGACGGACAGTTGAGTGCGGAAGGAGTGCCAATCAAGGTTGCTTTGTTGAGTCCAGGACTTGCCTTTTTTTCTCTATTACGTGGACTAGTCTTCCATTTTTCCTGCCTTTGTTTTGGGTGATCCAACTGGCTGACCTGAAGGGTGCGCCTCTTGGATCCCTGTACGTGTCTCCAGGGTGGCTCTGATGGGTGACAGTTGGGAGCGTCTGCTGCCTGTGGGCTCACAGCCAAAGTTGTCGTTGCTCACCCTTGGCAGCTTCCACTGCCACCCAACCACCAAAGGGTGGTTTGGGCCCTGTGCACGTTCTGGTTTCCAGGGATCCCACTGTTGGACCCTGTTCGGATCACAGCATTTCGATACATTTTCAGGATGTGATCGTGATAGATTATATATGATTATATTTAATACATTTTAATAATATTATTTACTTCATATTTTTTGGGTTTCCAACTTGTCCATCGTTTTTTGGGGTTGCTGTAAATCAATCCATTGACATCTATTTATGTCTATTTTTTCTTGCGGGTGCCAGCAAGGAATGTTCCACAGCTGCTGCAATGACTAGCCTCCCAAGTTGGGGGGAAGTCAGGGAGGACTTGGAGAAGCAGAATGCAGATTGCAGTTGTACTCTGAAAGATATTTTCTCCCTTGAACCCGAAAAAAATGAGATCAATTGAGTCATATTGAGTCTGAAGATGTTTGAAAGCATCTGAAACCTGAAAAGCTGAGTGTACTCATCGAATTGGCGCATTTTGAGGGGTATATCCAGACACAGAAGCAATGTGGAATTACTGGTCGGCCACAAGGCAACCAAGGGTAACGACCAAACCTAAGGCTTCTGAAACTGGCGTATTTGGTCCTCACCTGTGACTTTCGACCTTTCGACATTGGCAGGCTGGTGGTTGTGGATGGCAATGCGTGCTTTTTTTTTTGCGCGCTTTTCCCATGGCCAACCCCGATGACCACCATATAATCCAGCCAGAGATTATCACCAAATCCATTCCCTAAGATTTCAGGTTGGCGAGCATCTTATCATTCAGCCAGATGGACTTCATCATTGCAATTCAGCCAGATGGTAATCGGGTGCCGCTACTTTTCTAGCTGCGAGCCTTCGTCAATGGAACAGGGCTTTGTCGACCGAGAATGCTCGCCATCAGCGTTTCAACGATGTGGGGTGGAGCAGCTTGTCTTGGGACCCCAACTAATACCGAGTGGATGAACACACCCTACCAAACCCTTCTCATTAGTGGATCCATTATCACCCATTCATGAACAGCTAGCAGCTAGTATCAGCCAGTCAATCGATGACCGTTCTGTCTTGCACTGATTAGTGTCATCAGTAGGGGTGATGTGCTGGATGATGCTGGTGACAACGTCAGTGATACCTCATGTAGATCATGCCGACCTTCCTGGTTTGGCAGATGTTTGTTTATGTTTGTTCTATTTGGGCACCTCCAAACCCCATGATTGATTGTAATTTGTCCATAATTTTCCTGGCCACATTCCCCATGTTTACGCACACTAGGCTATTTTCTTGTCATGTCGGAACAGCAAATCATGGGAAGAGCTGCCAATATCCACCCAGACATACCTAGACCATATAGGGCCACATTTTGGCCCACGGAACGTTCATGTCCCAGACTTGGTCGGAGGGGAAACTGGCGGAAACTCCTGCATTCGGGGTCAGATTTTGGCATGGATCATGGCTGCAGCCCGCATCATCTGAACCGCTGTGGAACTGCAGTTCCTACAACTCTCGGCCGCCTTGGCACTAGCCCGGTGCATCCGTGGCTGGGGTGCTCCGGCGGCCGCGCTGCATGTGCACGTTTCCAAAATACCCCGGTGCCCAACCAATTTTGGGCGACTTTTGGCCATTTCCCACACGGGAATCCGAGCTGCCTAGTTTCAGCTGGTTGGTGGTTCAAAGTATTTAAGACTATTCAATCTATTTAATAGGAAATGTGTTTCAACGATTGGGGTAGCCACCAGGTTTCACCACCAAGAGTAGCACTGTAACATCAATAGGCTTGATTCCTGGTTTACGAATCAGACAATATCTACAGAACGATCAATGCAAAAGATTCATGGTTTTGTATCTGATTATTGACAATTTCCATCGCTAAAAAGGGAACGGTGATCCCATGTGATCTGATGTCAATCTTTCATCATATTTCATCCTATTTCTGGGATGGGTAGCTCAACCACCAACCAATATCCGTGTTTGGTGGTCACAAAGATCACCCACGCCCATGGCGAGTTCACCCACAGGGTTGGCCAATCTGCATCCGCAAAGAAGATCGGCTGATCTGAACTGGGTGAAATTTTCGGCCCTCCCATGTTCACGACGCAAAGCGAGACATGAGAGCCAAGCCCCTCAGTCTTGATAGAAGCAGTGCGATGAACGAGCGGCAAGACGTCTTTTAGGAACGCGGCAGTTCCTGCTCTTACCTAGATCATCATGTGGGCAGGGTGTCCTTTACTTGCATATTTGTACATATTCATGATACTTTATGATCATTTGAATCACGCCCAATTTGGGGACTTCCTCATGCCTCAAGGCAGCCTGGAACATCATCCAGGGGAGCACCATTTGGTGACTTAATGGCTATTGGTATCTCACCCTTCTTTGGACTGAACAGAGGTCTATTCATCCGTTACTACTCTTATATCATTATCGATTTCATCCATTAGTTTTGGATATTTTTCTTAGATCCGCCTTGGCCCATTGGCCTTGTGTTAGTGTTGGAACATGTGCCCCCTCAACCATGTCACCCAGAGGCAGGAACAGCACAATGCCAGCAGATCCGGCCGCAAGTCGTTCAACTCACTGTGACGACTAAGTCCTCTGGTGGCCCGCGGCATCGTTGATGGGTCCAAAATCGGTCGGGAGCACCCAGGCCCTGTCAACCAGATTTGGCCCACCCAAATTCGTGCTGCTTCACTGCTGCGCTGCCTTCAGCGTGGCATTCCCACATTTCGAGCTTTGCATTGCAAGAGCAGTGCGCAGCTAGTGCCGGCAGCATTTTGCCATCGGCAGCGCCAAGATTCAATGCCAATCTTGGCAGTTTGAAGGACTCCACACAACAACAAGGCGACTTTTCTTACGTCCAGGAGACGGAGGCTTGCCACGGAGGCCAGACTTCTCATGCCGCCAAAGACTCCTCAATGCCCACACAGCAAAGTGCAAAGCTCACATCCTGTGGCTGCAAGTTTTGCCAATCACCTTCAGCCGTGATTGTGCAGGTCATAAGGCCTGAGGGTGGATTTTCTTCGGAACTTGTACAGCATGAAGATATGGTAGATGTTTGCAAGCCACGGCCAGAACAAACCAGTCTTCGTGCTGATGAAGTGTGTGTGGCTCGAAGTGGGTGAAAGCTCCCCTGAAATTGAATGGTGGAATATGCTGAGAGAACAGCTTTTGGCTGGAGCCAAATTCTTAAGCATTTGTGACCCAAATCAAACTCAAGGGCGATGCAAGATCTAGGGGATTCTGAAGCTGCATGAAGCCCTAGGTCATTGGGACTCACGCGTTTGGTCTTTTTCATGGCTAGGAAAAGGTGAGGTTCTCAAGTTACTGTATACCTCCGATTTGGGTCGCCGATGCTGATTCGAGAGGTCAGGAAGACCTTTGTTGTCATCGGACTTGGAATCAAACACGTACACAGCCCATTAGCATCCATTAGCATTTAGTTCCCAGCTTCTCTACGGAAATTTTGCGAGAGATACCCAACCTACCATTTTTGATTTAGCCCCTATGGGATTGGCTCAGGCACATCACAAAACCACCGAAAAGTGGATGGTTCAACATTCACTGCTGTTCCCAGCCATTCCCTTAGACTCTTAGGTCGTTCTGATGAATCGTGGTAGTTTTTACATGACCACTATGGAAATTGAAGCCACTTATTTATATTTATGTATATATATATATACACACCCTCCGGTAAACAAACATAGCTATTGAACATTGCCATAGAAATAGTGGATTTACCCATTCATAGCATGGTGGATCTTTCCATAGTTATGTATATAAACGTTTACCAGAGGGCATATATATATATATGCATATCTATATATATATATATAGCAGGGAAGCCGGGAAGCAATGAGTAATGCGACTCTTCCCAGCGCCATCACGAAAATCCAACTTGTGGTG